TTTTTGCGGTTTACTTATACGATCTTGTGTCGGTGAAACCGCGACGAAATTACATTATGTACTAGTAAGGACTGCTGGTCGAATCAAATATTTTTCTTTTAAAAAATACAGATGTCTGTAGGTTTACCATATGGTTTATACGCGTGAAAAAAAAATCGTACATTGATTTTCCTTGCGTATGAGAATTAAAATAACCCGTCGATCACGAGCAATAACGAAAAAAAATTATCAATACATTGTATATAGATTGTAACCGTACATTTTTAAACTGCTCAATTGAACTGTGTGGAACGGATACGATTCGGGGCTTTTATGTGCATTGGCGTTTATTATTATACTCGTATATGAAACGATCACCGAAAACAACACGAACGAGTTTCGTACATATTACAAAATAGTTAATCGTATTATCCGGCGATTTTATAACGACTTTATTCCTACAAACACTGACACGATGATACGCGCGTATATTGTACTTATGTTGAATTATTTCAGTTAGAAGAATTTCAAAAACAGACTATTTTGTAGATATTCTGTGTTTGCATCAATGCAGACGTTAAACGAAAAAAAGAAAAACAATGTATTTCCGTCTAATGGGATATTTTATTCGATTCAAATAGATGCTTGTACGTTAAATCAGTGGTTTTAAACCTGGGGGTCGCGAATCATAGGTTTGGGGGTTACCAAAAATAATGGAGAAAATGATTTTTCCATATTATTTAAAAAAAAATAAAGTAAATTATTTATTTTGTGAAATTTTTAAGTGTAAATTAATCAAAATTGTTTATGATGTAAATATTTTATCGGTAATTAAATCAAATTTTGATGAATAAAACAACATTTTTTTTTTTTTTTAAGGGGTCGCATTACAAAAAAATAAAAATGGGGGGTCGCGATCCGAAAAAGGTTGAAAACCACTGCGTTAAATAATATGAATATTTTATCAAACGTGTATGTTTTATACATACGTGGTCAAGAAACAGCTCGATGTCATTTACACAATACTATAGTATTTCACCACGGATATGCTGTTACGTAACCTTATAAACTATGTGTGTATAAACCTACCTTACATTAACCGTATACGATGACCAAGCTCTTATTCGCAATAAAGTAAGGTTACATTTAATCAACTATAATAATAAACAATACAAGAAGTTTTCAATGCTAGTTTACATTTTCGCACGACATTTTTTTCCATATATACACAAATTGCTTCGCAGGATAAAAACTTCTATAATTTTTCATTCGTCTATTATTTTTAAAGCGCACGGAAAAAAATGTAGACCCTGGAGTTATAATTACTACTTGGATATTGTGTTTATGTAATGAACATGGCTTATAACTTTTATAACACATCAAAATAATGAAATCTATAATTGATACACTGATGTTTTTATTTTACATTAAAAATAAGATGAATTAATTACCGTAGGTCTTTAAATAGTTTTATTTTGCAACGCGATAACGGGTGAATGTAAGAAACCATATATTTCGAAACACAATATTGGTTTTTTTCTCATATTGACATCCTATATACCATATCAAATTGTAATCATATCTAAAGTGCATTTATTAAATTAACGTATCGTTCAGAATTTATAACATAGCTAAAAATATATTTTTGGTTAGATAAAAATAAATTGAATAAATTTATTCAACCTGCTATTTGCACCAGTAAATTGATTTAATTCTTAAATATTTGACTTGTAATTATTTTGACTTAGTGTATTGATGACTTTTGAGAGTTCAAAGTATCATATGTGTACTTTATTATCATTATCATTTATATTCTGTTAAATTTGTTTTTTCAGTGTTGATTTTAAAAATTGTCTAACGATATATTTCAAACGAATTTCGTATAAATTAAACATTATAGAACGATCACGTTTTATTACAAACCATCTCATATCAATCCATTCAAAATCTACCAGTAGTGTTTAAACGCAATATATTATCACATAAATTCTTAGAAATATGTATTTAGTGTACTAGAATATGATATATTAATATTTTACATTGTATTAAATGAAATATTCCATTAAACATACTGAATAAAATAATAAATAAATAAATAATAAATAATGTTAAAACTGATTTCGCATACGTATGGTAATATATGCTATTAAAAATAATTACTGTTATTTTTCACTAAATTTTAATTTAACATAGATGCCTAGAATACTAATACTTTACTCGTGTATGGTCCATTGAACGGTACTAATGAAGCAATCAACCGGTGGCCAACGAAAGTGAATGAAGAAAACGAGTGTTTCACACTTATTGGAACAAAAGAACGCCTATGAATTCACTCACTCATTTTTTTTTTTTTTTAGGTTTTGATACACTTCATGATTTACTGAATTCTCAGTTACAATACAGAGTACCTTCTATGTTCTATTCATATAATTTGATAATATTCTATAATATTCTATAACACTATTTGAAAATGTTAAAAAAAAAAAACACTAAAGAAGAAACGTTTAAGAATATACCAAGGAGACTATAAACAAAGAAAACTTAAAAGAAACTGATCAATAGATGCTCTTTATTAAAAAAAAAAAAAAATAATAAAAAAAATAGCAGAAATAAATGAAATAAAAATGGTTTTCCCTCTTAAACTCATAAAATTAAATATGAAGTAGGTACTGTTACTGAACGGGTTCCCTCTCTCCTGCTAATCAAATAATTGTATTATATTTTATTGTGTTATCTCATTTATTATTATGCTCATTTGTATAGATTTTAAATAAAATGTAATAAATAAAATAAAAATGTTTTTGTTTAATAACTGAAAAATGATTTAAAAATATTTTTCATTGTTAAGTTATGCAATATTCATACTGTAATAATGGTAATAGTAGTGTGCTAGAATAAACATGAATAATAAAGAAATTTTCGAGTAAATCTCTTAGTGATGAATTCAATTAAATTATTGTAATATAAAAACTTGAATTCGACTATAATTCAAAGTTGTTTTTCATTTTATATTGCTATTTTATAAGAAAGCCATAAACATTATTCAACCCACAGTCGTAACCATTATGCGTGTTATAGATAATACATATTTATACGTTTTATAATTTCTAAAATGCATTTATAAACATTAAATGGGTTCTATGCGGCCCCGAATACTTGAACATTAAATTATTATTCTAGAAATATCTAATTTATTTTTAATAAAAGTTGCCTTAAATATCAGTTTACATCCAATTCTTAGGCATTTGTTATAATTACATATATTATACATTAAAAAATACATAAAACAAACAATATAATTATATAAATCAAATTTAAAGTCTTAAATAATAGCTGTTTTTCAGTAAAATACTTTTGGTTAATACATTTTATAATCATTTTTAAATAATTAATGTATAATGTATGTATAAACATTAAAATATACAAGTAAAATACACATTAAATTAATTATACATAAATAAAGTAATTATACATACAAGTTAAATAAAAAATATAAATTGATAATGATTCCATGATTAATTGTATTGATTTAAATTATTTTAAGTCGATGTAATTAAAATAATAAGGATTGTAATAAAAGTTATCTATCGAAAATATCCATTTTAAGTTCTTATTACTACAAAACTTTGCGATTCGTAAATAATCCTAAATAATTAAACAATAATAAATTTTGATACCATATTATCAACTTTGTAATCTTTCTATTCTCTTTTATTCCACTCAAATAAAGTCGATATTATCGACGGCTTAATAACTATGTGTGCACACAAGTTGTGTTTAGTATTGTATCATAATCGTTAAGCATGAAATATTACCAATGTATTTTTATAAGAGAATTCGGAGAATATTAGATCTAAATCGGGGCCTTGAATTTTTTAAATTCGATTATATTAATAACTCTCACGCCCAACCATGAAAAAAATCCAGGATAATCATGTAGTACATGCAAGGACGCGAGATTTTTACTGTTTTAATTTTTTTTCCAACGCACCCCGATAGTTCTCACTGGAGTCGAACACATTAAACATGAAATAAACGTGAGAGCACAGGAACTACGCCACCGAACACGAAAATACATCTATAGGACACATAAATGGACGGTTTTAACAATGAATAACACACTAGGTGGGGCACGCCTTATGGTCATAACACCTGTTCCAGTCATTTTTTAATCTATTAATTAGACGGTGTAGCAAAATAATATTTAAACTGCTCTACATAAGTATTCGAGTAAGACCGTGGGAAAACGATCCGAGAAAACATAATCATCTATATGACACAACGAATAAACGAAAGAAAATTCCAATTCGCATATTTTTCATGCATAAATTTCCCAACACGAAAATATTTTTGATATCTCAGTCATAGTATAAAAGTTGTTTATTTTAACGTATTTATTCAATGTTGAATTTACAATAATAAATCTAAATATATTATTACAATGTACAATTATATTAATGATAATGAAGGATATATTAACGTATACAATAAATTTGAATATGAAAGTTTGTTCATTATTAATGTGAAACAACTATGTTATGTTTTAATGATAAAAATGCACATTTGTGCATATGCATCATTCACAGTGATCTGAAAAAAATGTATGCTAGAATATTTTTAACAAAATCAAATTTTTCCTTGTATTATTCAAATCTAGGCATTTATGAATACATATATAGACGTCATTAGAGAAACTATATTTATTATATAAAGCAATAGATTTTATATTGATATTACTATTTGCTATTCGCTAGTATTTTTAGTTTGTTTAGTAGGTAAATAGTTTTTTTTGTTGAAAAAAGACCTGTTTTGGTTGAGTTGTCGGAGGGAGTAGTAAACGACAATGAGGGAATATTATAATAATGACAAATCATCCCCACGCAAGCCCAATTATTTCTAGTGAGCTATACTTAACTGCGGTTGTACCATATTATATTACGGTGACATGAAAATTGTTACCGCTTATTGTATCTCCGACGCGTATAATAAATAATACGTATATGTTTGATGTTTGTTCGTAGGTCAGGTGCAGGTAGACTCGATCCGACGTAGCAATAGTTCGCAACTGAGCGACGGTCCCAGAGACGGGAGCGTCCTCAGAAGGGTCGCCAAGGTCACGCTGGACCAGGCTACAAAAGATCTAAAGCCGGTGAGACCGAAACATGTGCCTGAAAAGTTGGACTTCAAGAACCACGAGAAGTTCGAAGGTGAGTTAGTTTCATTCGTAACGTATCTGTATGAAAGAGCATCCGCGCACGATGATCCATCAGTGATAGACCATCACTGTGAGTCGAATTGCATTTTATGTATGAAACCGGTTTTCGATTTATTTTTTGGCCGCGGCCAACTGTACTATGAGAAACCGAAAATAAAAAATAAAAGAGATACCGGCTAGCCTTGGAAAGAAACCGAGTAGGAAAGGGAAAAAAAAAGATCAACAATAATCACCGCTTCGAATAATATTAAACAACTGTGGGAAAACAATAACCTCTATTTGGCGTGATTGTCGAGGATTTCTGTTATTTCATTTTTTAGTAAATTATCATCGTGCTTTTTCGGACGATAATGAAAAATCCGTTAGCAATGTATGCGCGGTGAATCGGTGTCTAATTTTCTATGCCTGTCTCGAACGTAGATAATATCAATAGCATTTAGCTGAATAGGAAAAAAAAGATTGTTAGTTATTTTTTTTTCTACCATTTAAGAACGTCGGCTTATGTGTAATAATATACGCTGCTGTTAAACATTTTGTTACGTAATTCCGTTTAATAATAGCAACAGGTGCCGCGATTCCAGCTTGGTATAAAGCATGAATCGTTAAACCCCAATTATTATAACTTATTATCTGACAATTTTTCTCGTAACAATTTTTAAGAACGTGTGAATAGTGTTCGCCAAAAATATTATATTTACGTGGTGTTTTAGGAAAAATTGTCATATAATATTCAATATCATTTGCATCATTGTAATTTTTTATTCCATTATCATTTTTCTAATGGAGGTCACAAAAACAGACGGCTTTCCCCTTAATGTTTAAATTATTTATCACATATTTATCTTTAAGAGGCGTCGCTTCTGTTACATTATTATAGTAAACAGCGTAAATTGCAACACAATTGCAGGTTATTATTTTATATTTTGCGGTGTTTAATTTTTATATTGGTAACGGAAGAAAAAATATTGTATATTATATTTATTGTTTAACATTTATTGACTCCGGTTTGTTTAACTGACATAATACATTATCCACTAGCCATTAGTAAATTAGTTCATTAGTTCCATTTAATTTTAAAAATTAGTTTCATTTAATATCACGAGTTTAATCAATTGACACTTAATTGTTTGAAGTTTTATTAATACAATTTTAAATTAATTTTAAAATATATTATCCACTCACAATGTAAACCAGAAAAGTATAACAATATATATCAAATTAAATTATTTTAAATCTTTGTAAACGTTGAAATTAAAAATAATATTTTTTCATACAATATATATATATGTATATCAAATAAATGAAGTCTAAACAATCTAAAACGTATTAGGCGCCTACACAATTTATAAACTTAGGAATTTTGGTAATTCTAAACAATTTTACCAATTACGGAATATTAAATTCATTATTATACCATTATTGGTAATTATATTAAGCAGAATGCTTTAATAAAAAAAAATATGTTCAACAATATTATGTTTAAAAGTAAATTAATGATGACTAATATTCAGAAGTTTATGAGAGTAACATTTTGCATGAATTTGTATAAATCGCAAGTCATTATCATATACCTAGTTACAATACGTCGTTAAAAATTAATAATATTTAATAATTCTTCATAAACATTTAAATAAACTTTTATTTAAAACAATCTTCGTTTTTATTTATTTATTTCCAGTAGTTAGTACAAATTATTTATATATATATATCAATGTAATTGGTGCATTAACCGCAGTGTTAAAATTTAAAAGTGTGTAAAAAATGTTCTAATTTCTTCATTAAAAAAAATGTGAATAATTATTGAAAGTAAACGACATAAAAAGTTTAAAATTTGATTGTGATCAAAGTTACATTATGTTTGCAATAGAAAGCCTGTTAAAATAAAATTTCCGAAATATGCATTAGATACATTAGATGCTCATAAAAGATAAAATAAAAAATAAAAATAGGCAAAATTAAATTATTGATAAGCTATGTTTTTCGCAAACTAAAAAACGCCAAGTTTACGATTATTGTTGTTGTAGTAAATATTTGGATCATTTAATGAAACCGTGCAAACTCATGAACATTCAAGACCTGCATGTCAATAACTATTACATTATATAATTTTTCGCCCACAAAACGCACATATGGGCGATGTAGTATTTTCAGTTCACAATCAAAAATATTTCAAAGGACTGTTAGAGTTAACCTAACTTTCCCCACTTCTTACTTGGACAACAGCTTTGTCAATGCTGGATGTGCAGTGTAAATAAAATCTCGTACACTGCCAGTCTAAGTTTATAAGTGCATGATAAATAATATTATTCTTACGGCGGCGAATATATCTTATACATATTATATTCGTGACGTGTAACGGTCAAATTGTCGTTTAAATCAACTATCGCAGATGACGTCCGTTGTAGGTGACGGGGGGGGGGGTGTATACAGAAGAAAACAATTTAAAGTACCTCACGTCGTCTAACAATCGTATCTCATATTAAACGGAGCAGCTGTTTCATTTAATCTGTGTTCGTATACTGGTAATATTCTAATCGAAACGTAGTGGTCGACGGATCATCGATGACCCTGTAGTGCATCGCTTCCATAATAATATATATATTATATTTGACGACGATAATAATAATAACACGACGAACGCAGGTGTTCGGGAATTTCAGCGGCTAGTTCGGGGAGGATGCGTGCACGGCGGTTGTCCCCTCCTCGAATCGCCCCGGTGGCCGTGGCTCGCGCCGAAATACGTTTTTGTTCGGAACCAGCTTAGCGGTTATCTTACGTCACCGTCGTCACCTGTCCGTCAAAGTGGCTCTGTTTATCCGTCGTACAGATCATCCACGCGCGCACGCGCGTTATAAATCTTTAATGGCACGAGATATTCCTTCTCTCTCTCTCTCTCTCTCTCACTCTCTCTCTCTCTTTCGTTATTATTACGGTATCGCTCGCGAGCCGTGATCACGATTTTGTAAATATTCGTTTTCCTCTCCAAATCGTGCGCGCGCGCGCGCGGTGTTGTGTTTCTTTTTTCGTTTCATCGGCCGCGGTCTCTCTGCATACATCAGCACGTATTGTACTACATTGTACATCGGACATGCCTTGGCCGTATAGCACGCGCGCCTCCCCGAAAACGGACCGACTTCGTGACCGCCGTCACCGCCACACAGACGACGTGTTCTAGAAATCGGTCTGAACTATCGGGCGCAGCAGTGTCTCGCACGCGTGCGCGAAAACATGCGGTGCGCGATTTTCCCGCAAACGCTTTCGCGGTACGACCACTGTTATCGCGTCGCGATCAACGTGACGGGTCCGCACGCGCAGCGATCTATCGCCGATACGTACATACGGACCAGTCGGAAACGTTTTGTAACCGTTTTGCTCGACTGTAGAGAAACTTGAGCTGGGGCCTTCTGACCAATTAACAACGTAAAAGTAATATAAAATAATTAAACCAAACTACCGAGGGTGGCTTCTCCCTTCGCGCCGTTCCATACTATTTCTAATATCGTATATTCTCATTGTGTCCTAGGCCGCAGATTGTTGACATATTATAAAAATAAAATAAAAATGAAAAACCTACATGTATACCGCTGTTTGATGGTTTCGATTGAAAATATGTATGCCAATATTTCACTACCGATTTCATGTTAAATTTTGCATGAATTTACCAACCAATATTTCGATAGCATTTTTTTTTTTTTTTTTTTAATCACGTTCATTACCTTAGAAATAAATTTTAGATTGTTGAAAAAAGTGAGATGAAAACACGGATACTATAAAATACAATTAAGCACACCAAATAATCTTCATTAGACTACAACTACTGTTCTACTGACTTTTAGTACCTAATCCGTCTTGCGCAGTTCTGTTCATAGCCGCGGGGATAGGTTACGAAAAATCCGTCAATCATTCATTTTATTTATAAAGTACTTCTATTTAACTATTAATGTAATGAACATTAGGTACCTAGCAGTGGGAAAGCAGTTTTTTAAGAAGATTCATAGGTGTCAGTTAAATATATGGTATTCATCAAATAGATAATCAAACAAATAAAATACATATTAAATATTATTCATAAATACATTTTTGACTTGATTAACTTACATCTTATAAGCTATCCAGCTATAGACGTGCGCAGAGGGGCCCACGTAAAAAATGTCTCAAACAAACATTCTTGTAATAAATATAATAGTTACAGCATAATAATAATAATAAAAGTACCATTAAAAAAAATGTATTGTAACTTAAATAATTTATACTTAAAAAATATCACTTGACTATAACATATAAACATATTTATACATAACTATAAACAACTCTATCCTTCTGTCCAGAAGTTAGACTTTGAATAGTATCAATTATATCGTCAATTTTATTATTACCAACTCTAATTGATAATCTGTAATGATAGTTTTTGTACACAGAATTATATGATTATACTTATTAATAATTGTTATAATGACAACTTTAATTAACTAAACATAAAACATTTTACAACGTGATTGTAAATAAATATAATGAAAATATATAAACATAAAATTCTGAATTATTTCATTAGCAATACACCAAATTCTTTGTAGTTTTCAATCGCAGATTCTTGTAGAGTAATGTATTTAAATAAATTCTAAAAATATTATTTTAATTCACTATAAGTGTATTTAATATGTTATCTGGAAGGCTATTTTATACCTGAAGACCATATTGAAAATTAGATTGATACAGTGAAAAGTGTACTGGTTTCATTGTTAAAGTACCATATTATTGAGTTTTGGCCAATTTATTAAACTGAATAGAAATAATCTAAATCCATTTAGATTTCCCAAATTGGTAAAAAGTATAATCAACCAGTATTAAGCATCTGCAACCATTAATTTTTAAATCATGCAATATAAACAATTGATAGTTGTTACAAGATAGTGACTTAATAGTAAATTTAATATCGTCATTTTATATATATATATACAGCGAAACCTCTAAATATCGGTCACCCTTGGTCGC